TAATTCTGACTTCTTCTGCCTCCATTCTGCTTGTATGACTTTCTATTGAGTTGTGTAATTCTGAAATTTTATTGTTAATCTTCTGGATTTCTGATTGCTGTCTCTCCGTGGATTCTTGCAACCTATTAAATTTGTCATTATGCTCTTGAATAACTTTTTTAAGTTCCACTACTACTTTGTCTGCATGTTGTTTGGCTGTCTCTACATTATGTCGAATTTCCTTTCTAATTTATTGTAGAATTCTATATAGTAATCTTCTATATTCTGCCTCTGGTAATTCCAAGAAATTCTCTTCCTCCAGAGAATTTATTGATTCTTTATTTTGGGAGCTTGCTGAAGCCATCATGAACTGCCTCTTTACGTAATTTGATATTGACTGTTGTCTCCGAGCCATCAATAATTTATTATAATATTATTTTTTATTTGTTTAGTGTGTCTTAGGTTGTCATTTTGTTTTCTTTTGATATGCCCAAATAGGGTGCTCATGTGTGCTAGTTTGATTATTGGTGTCTTTGAAGCTCTAACGTCCTGTCACCAGGTAGTTCTGTAACTAAGTATTTGCACCCAGGAGTCCATTAAATTTTCCGGTATGGATTCAGCTCAGGTGTCCAGGCAGTCGGTCACCAGGTGTGTGGTGCAGGCTCTCACCTATAGTCTCAGAGAGGCAAGGGTGATTGGTGTAGGCACAGGTATCTGGCTGAAGAAGGGGGTCACACCCTGAGCAATGCAGGGGGCTGTCGGCTGCCCCTGAGTGTTTGAAAGGAAAGCGTGTCCCTGTTCCCTAGAGTGAGTAGGTAGGTGAGTTTTGCAGCCGGACTATGAGCACCCTACTCTGTTGGCTGTAAAGACTCGGGGGCACCACTTATTCTTGGACCCCTGTAGCAGGTGGCTAGGAGGCATGGGTGGAGTCACCAGTCCTCAAGCTCCTGATGCAGACTGGTAAGGCGCCTGCTTAAAGGGCAGAGCAGTGTCAAGCATCAAAAATCTGCCACTTCACAGCTGAAGCAGTTGAAGTTAGACTTCAGGTGTTTACCCTGTTGTACTGTGGTAGTGAGGGCTTATGCTGTTGAGATGGGTCCACACAAGTCTATACAGGGGTGGAAGGCACTCAGAGTTCTGCGGACCCCTTATGCCTGTGCCTAGGCAAAGGAGCTGTGCCAACCCTGAGTTCCTGGCTTAGGGGAGCCGGTAGCTTATTTTTTCCCTGTTTGTTAATTTGTTCCCTCTCCAAGGCCAGGAGAATAGGTCAGGGTGCCTTATGGGATCTACTTCTGGCCCAGGGGACTCAGAGATCTCTGAAGCCAGCTGGACCAGTGCAGAGTGGGGAGGGAGGAAGTAAATGGGAGAGGAGGTTTTCCCAAATGGTTTTTTTTTTTTTTTTAAATGCCCACAAAAGGCCACATGCATGTACTTATCTTTAGCCCCTTGGGTGCTGCTTTTCACTGGTTTGGAATGTCCAAGCAGAATCTCTGCTGCTAGATCTCTCTTGATGTGGAAACTGCCTCCCGAGCGAGCGCACGAAGCTGAATGCCCACCTCACTACACACCCCGAGCCAGTCCGGGCTGAAGAGCTGTGGCTCCTGAGTCAGGTCTGGCAACTCCTCGCTTCTTCTAAATGTCTCTCTCTGCCCAACGCCACTCAGTCCGATTCCTCAACTTTGCCTTGTTCAGGGATTGTAGATATTCGTATACAATCAAATCACTTGTTTTACCAGGTCTTTGTTGTAAGAGTGATATAGGAAGCTGTCTGACTACTTCACCATCTTGGCCCCGCCTCCCTTATTTGGGTTATTGATTTTTTAAACAAGAAACAAAAAGCATTAACCATAATGGAAAAGATTGATAAATTGTACCACATTAACATTAAAAACTTATGTTAATTAATGGCACTATTAAGACACTGGGGAAAAATATTCATAATACACATATCTGATAAAGGAAACATCTGGAATACATGAAGAAGTCCTAGAAATCAATAATTATAATGATAATGATAAAAGACAAACAACCCTGTAGAAAAATGAGCAAGAGACCTTATCAGGCTCTTAACAAAATCTGAATGATTCATAAACGTATGAAAAGATACTCAACCTCAGTAGTCATTGTTGTTAGCTGCTGTCGAGTCAGCCCTCGACTCCTGGTGACCCTATGCACCGCGGGATGAAACACTGCCTGGCCCTGCACCATCTCCATAATCAGCTGTGGATCAATGGTCTGTGGATCAGACCATTGTGACTCATAGGGTTTTCATTGCTGATTTTCAGAAGTAGATCGCCAGGACTTTCTTCCTAGGCCATCTTAGTTTGGAAGCACCTCTGAAACCTGGTCAGCATCATAGCAACACGAAAACCTCCACTAGCAGTTGAGTTGTGGCTGCCCATGAGGTGCATTGGCCTGCAATCCAAGCCGGGTCTCCTGCATGGAAGATGAGAATTCTAGGACTGAACCACCAATGCCTCAGCCAGTAGTTATTGTTGATGTTGTTGTGTGCTGTCAAGTTGATTCCAACTCATAGCAACTGTATAGGACAGGGTAGAACTGCCTCATAGAGTTTCCTAGGCTGCAATCTTTACAGGAGCAGATCTCCAGGTCTTTTCTCCTATGGAGGCATTGGTGGGTTCGAATCACCAAACTTTTGGTTAGCAGCTGAGCACTTAACTATTGAGCCACCAGAGCTCCTTCAGTAGTCATTAGAGAAATGCAAATTAAACCACAATGTGATACCAGGGCATACCTAATGGAATGGCCAAAATTAAAAAGACTGAAAACACCATGTCTTTAGGAGGATGTGGAGCAACTGTAACTCTCACACTAATGTAAATTGTAACAAGTACTTTGGAAAACTGTTTGACATTATCTATTAAAGCTGAGGAGTCCCTGGGTGGTGCAAACAGTTACCACGCTGGGCTGCTGACCAAAAAGTTGGCAATTCAAATCCACCCAGAGTCACCTCAGAAGAAAGGACTGGCAATCTACCTCTGAAAAATCAGCCACTGAAAACCCTATGGAGCACAGTTCTCCTCTCACAGGTTCAGCTCTCACAGGTTTCACTGTATCTCAGAATCTACAAGACAAAAACAACTTTTATGTACAGAGTTTCCTGTTTGTTCCAAGGGTAAAAGACAATGATTAGATTACTGCATTTTACAGACAAGTCTAACAACCAGTACAGCCCAGATCCTAGTGACCCTCCTCTTCTCTACTTTTCCCTTTGAACAAATTGCCTTGGAATCTCTCAGTGGATTCTGAAAGGAGTGAGGCTAGGTTAGGGGTCTGTGAGTTAGAGGTGTCCCTGCTTGGCTGACCACTAGGAAAACAGTAACCTGTTGCTGTAGAGTCGACTTCAACTCATGGCAACCCCACGTGTATAACTGTGCTTCATAGGGGTTTGCATGGCTGATTTTTTGGGCTTTCTTCCGAGATGCCTCTGGGTACACTTGAACCACCAACTTTTCAGTTAGCAACCAAGCGTGTTAAACATTTGCACCACCCGGGACCTCTAGGAAGACTCTAGATGTAAAGGCAAAGGCCCTCTTTGGCACGCATGGTTCTCCATGCCGAGCTAGTGTATATACTCCTTTATTTTGTCCAAGTTGCTTCCGTCTGCTTAGATAAGAACTGATGACCAGTGTTCAGGCCCAACCTCTGGTTTTTCTGTTTTATATGGAGTCTGTATGGGGCAGATTAACCAGTAAGCATGGTATCCACCGGCTTACAGTAAGCACATCTTTGATGTGGTGAAAAACAGGTGAAATTGTGCACTCCAGATTAGTAAGTAAGCACAAGTAAGCCCGTGCCTACCTTACTTATTGGGTAATCAGTCCCTCAGTCTATGTACGACCTTCAGCCACCCTCACTTTTCCCTGGCTTCTTGCCCGCGATCAGTCCCAGCCAACCACATGCAGACCACGAGGAGGCCTTCTCACCCTCCTGCTGTGGGTTGTTCCCGCTCGCCCCTCAGCCCTCCCCTCCCTCCTTGTCCGTCTCCATTTCCATCTACTCACCTTGGCCACACCATGTAACTGGGTTGACAAAACCCATGGTGGCTCCTCACTGTTACCTGCGAATTCAGTAGTTCTTCAAAAGCCACTTGATTAAGGGGTGTCGCTAGGGGGTCCTTGGTATTGCTGCAATTGCCCCTCCCCATTCCCCTCTCCCCACCCTCTGCCTCCATGGGCTTCTTGTCCAGTGCCCAGCCCCTTCCCAACAGACAGTTGTTAGCTGCCATCAAGTAGGCCCCCTGATTCATGGCAACCTCATGCACAACAGAAATGAAACTCTGCCTGGTCCTGCACTATCCCCATGATTGGTTGCAGATCAGACCTGTTGTGACCCATAGGGTTTTCATATTGATTTTCAGAAGTAAATCGCCAGGCCTTTCTTACTAGTCCATCTTAGTCTGGAACTCTCACTGAGAACTGTTCAACATCACAGCAACAGACAAGCCTCCACTGACAGACGGGTGGTGGCTGCCTATGAGGCACTGGCCAGGAGTCAAACCCAAATCTCCTGCGTGGAAGGCGAGATGAGGCTGGAAACCCTTCAGCAGGAATGTGGCTCAGAGTCTTCTCAGTCAGGAGTGCAGAGGTGGTTGGCCCGTTGCTGCCACTGGCACCCCCACAGGCCTCGTCTGCTGTGGCTGGTGTGACCTCTTAGTGGGTCAGTCTCTTGGCAGCTGCACACCCGCTGATGCCCTGCTGCCTGCTCACAGCTGTTATTTGGGATTTAGCAGGGCTGTGAGGCTCGCTACTCAGGATGCCTCTATACCAACCCTCACTGCTGTCCCCCGTGGACCTGGCTGGGGTCTCACAGGAGCCCAAAGAGGACTTGGGAGACTCAGGGGAGACTGTCTGGAGGAGAAGGTGGGGGTACTGGGGCCCCAAGGAGAAGCACTCAGGAGTTAGGCCAGGACCCTCTGGTCCAGGGCCTTGGCTGGGCCTGGGGCTGCCACAGGAGGGCCCTGGGCCTCGGAGCTGGAGCTGCCTTTTGTCTCCTCCTAGGCTATGCTCCTGTCACGGGGATGTGCCACCCGGTCCGCAGCTGTACCTTGAACCATGAGGATGGCTTCTCCTCGGCGTTTGTGGTGGCCCATGAGACCGGCCACGTGTAAGTGGCCTGGCATTCCTTGTGGTTCACCCAAGACCCCGTACCAACTTCTCCTCTGTGCCCCCAAGAGGGACCTGCCCTGTGGGAACATCTCTGAGGATATGATGCCCTGTGTTCCCAGCTCTGCAGGGTCAGGCAGGCCCTCGGTCCATTTTCTGCTGAAGGAACAGATCAGGTCCCCTGGGCCGAGCAGGAGCCAGGGGCCATACTGCACACTCCAAGCCACTGGGAGACGGGGCCGCTTACCCCATTCTTTGGAGCAGTAACAGGGACTTGAGGAGATGGTTATCCAAGGTTAGAGAGCCCGGCACGTTTCCCAGGCAACTTCCCTGCCCAGCATTGCCAGGAAATCTCACAGATGAGCGTGTGCAGAAGTTGTCTGGAAACTTGGACTGCAGAGCTCATGCAACAGCACCCAGCTTAGGGGACAGGATATCCGAGGGGGCTGCCCACAAGATACTGTCTCACTGCTGGGCTGAATGAGGGCTTCCTTTCACCTCCTAAAATGCCCCCCTTGGCTGTAAGAATCTAGCTGGTAGGGAGTCTGGCTCAGGGCAGATTTGGTCAGTAGCAGCGGTCAGGGGAAGTCAGCTGGGTGAGGCCTGGGGAGCAGTCCTGACCTTTGGGTGAGTGTGGCATTGGCAGATAAGCGCTGCCAGGGGAGGGTCCATTGTGACTGCCTGGGCTCCCTCACAGGCTGGGCATGGAGCATGACGGGCAGGGCAACCGCTGTGGTGATGAGGTGAGGCTGGGCAGCATCATGGCGCCCCTGGTGCAGGCCGCTTTCCACCGCTTCCACTGGTCCCGCTGCAGCCAGCAGGAGCTAAGCCGCTACCTCCAGTGAGTATCAGTACGGCTCCCCCTGGGTGTCCCTCAGCCTCTAGGCAGGGGAGGCCTGAGGGCTGCCCTTCCTGGAACCTGCCAACCTCAGCTTAGAGATATCCCAGGGGCCCACACTCCCAGGCCCCAGCACCTGGGCCCAGCCTGGGCCTCAGACCCACTGGTCTACCAGCCAGAGATGTGGGGGTGAGGGGTGGGGTAGGGTGAAAGCAGGGCAGGTTGCACACCTGCTCCCATGGCTAGGGTCCTGGACAAGTGCACCTTTCATGGACTGCAGTGTCCCTGGGGTCTGACAGGCCAGGTCTGGGGATCTTACACCAGGGAAAAAAGAGGCAGCAGGGAGACTGAGGCAGCACAGTGAGGCTGGGGTGTGCAGGCAGGCCCTCCCCAGGCTCCAGGGGGTCTCAGCTGCCTCTCGGTGCCACGTGCCCCCTTCACAGCTCCTACGACTGCCTGCGGGATGACCCCTTCGCCCACGACTGGCCGGCGCTGCCGCAGCTCCCAGGCCTGCACTACTCCATGAACGAGCAGTGCCGCTTTGACTTTGGTCTGGGCTACATGATGTGCACAGCGGTGAGTGTGTGAGCCAGCAGGCAGGGCTGGGGAGAGGAGGGGCTTGCCCTTAGTCCTGGCAGGCTTCTAGGAGGCAGGCTGGTGTGGGGCAGCTCCTGGGAATGGAGGGATTTCGTGGGGAAGGGAGGGAGTGTGAGGATAGGCGCTAGTGAGGGGAGGACAGAGCAGCCCTGCAGAAGCCCCAGCATCTCCCTCTGCACCCACATACTCCTTACCCGGGAGACATCCAGCACTCACCTGGCTGGTCCAGACATGGTCCTGGCAGGGAGCGCACAGGACAGCAAGGGCTGTGATCAAGTGTGGCAAGAGACAGTAAGAGCTCAGGAGGGGCCCCTGAGCTGGCCCGAGAGTTCAGGACAGCTCAGGAGAGCTTCTTTGAGGAGAAATAGGCAAAGGGGCTAAGTGGGAGGAGAAGGCATTGAAGAAGGTGAGAATCCCACCTGCAAAGGCCTAGAGACAGATAAGATCCACAAAGGGGCAACAATTGTTGCCTGGGGCTGAGTGTGAGGACAGAGCCATCAGCAGGACACTGATGGAAGAATGAATAGTATTTGCTAATCAAGGCCACCCTATGTAAAGCAGTGCCTGACTTATCTCTCATCTCTAATACATGGAGCCGGTGAGCAAAATAGTCCCATTTTACAGATGAGGACTAAGGCCCAGAGAAATTAGGTAACCTCCCTAAAGCCACACAGCGAGCAAGTGGTGGTGCTCGGGCACTGGTGCAGGTGGCCTAATGCCTTGCATGACTAGCTAAGGAGCATGGTGAGCTCCATTCTGTTGGCTATGGGAGCTCTGGGAAAGTTTGAATAGGGCAGTGGCATGGCCACATTTGCATTTCAGTGTCTCCCTCAGGGACATCCAAAAGAGGGGCTATAAGACAGGGAGCTGAATGGCCAGGGAAGGGGCGATTGTGAGGCCCAGGAGACAGAAGCCAGAGCAAGGGGTAGGGCCTGTGCGAGGGGAGAAGAAGGCTTCATGGGGTATCAGGAGGGCAGTCCATTGCAGGTGGGCAGTGGGTGCTCAAGAACCCTGCAGTGGCAGTCCCTTGCAGCCAGCAGACCTGAGAGGTGGGGAAGGAGGAATAGGGGCAGGCAGTGTGCGGAATGCTGCAGCCCTTGCACTGCACGCAGTTCTCTCAGTCCCAGAACCATCCACCGTCCACACAGGCCTGTCAGCAGCAGCCAAGCCTTGCATGGCTCGGCAGCAGTCCAGCTGGGGCATCTCAGGCAGGGCGGCCCACAGTGGTCATAAACGGGAGGTGGCCTGTCAAGCTGCTGCTGCATGCTGTCTTGCAGTTCCGGACCTTCGACCCTTGCAAGCAGCTGTGGTGCAGCCACCCTGACAACCCCTACTTTTGCAAGACCAAGAAGGGCCCCCCTCTGGATGGGACCATGTGTGCACCTGGCAAGGTGAGTCGGGCTGAGCATGGCAGGGCAGAGGGAAGGCCCCATGAGCCACCCAGCTGGTGGCCTTCTCAAGAGACCCCTGCCTCCTTTTGAATAACTCCCCCACACTCGACAGGTCATTGCTTCTCCACCCCTGTGCTGCCAATGCACTGTCTTCTTCTGGAGCAAACCTGGTGTCTCAGAGCTCTTCTCACTGTGCTTCAAGGTTACCCACTCATAAAACTCCTCCTCAAAGGAAACTTTCCGATTCCTCATGCAGGTTCTGAGTTCCTGACAGCCTCCCGTCACCCCTGCATGCTGTGGGTGACTGTAGGTCACTTCACAGACTGGGAGCTACTTGAGGGCAGCAATGGGGTCTGAGTGGTCACTGGGTCCCCAGCCCAGCACAAGGCTTTGTCCCTCCGCCCACCAAGGCCTCGGTGTTCACCTTTTGTTCGCAGACATGTCCCTCGAGGTCAAATGATAGCTACCTGCCAGCTGACCCAGCCTCACTTTCATCCTCTGGCAAATCTGCAGAAAGAAAGGCTTCTCCTTCCCTGTAGTCCCAGCCAAAATTTCGGACCTGATTCTTATTGATTCAGATGAAGTCATATGCCCATCCATCGGCCAGTCACTTGCTGGGGCCTGGCGTATGCAAACTGGCCTCATCCCCACTGAGGCCACATAGACCAGTGCTGGGTAGGGGTGAGGGGATGGACTCCATTCTGTGCCCCACAGCATGAGGCCAGGAAAGGCCTGCCAAAATCATCTGGGCCTGGAGACCCTGGTGGAGCTTCTTAAAGATACAGATTCCCAGGCCCAGTCCTGAAGATTTTGGTTCAGTGGATTTGAGGTAGGACCAAAGAATTGTTTTGTTTGCTGCTTTTGTGTTTGTTGTTGTTGATTTCGAGTTATATTCGAGTTGCTTTTGACTTATAGCGACCCCATGTGACAGAGTAGAACTGCCCCATAAGGTTTTCTTGGCTGTAATTTTTAGCAGATCCCCAGATTTTTCTCTCGCAGAGCCACTAGGTGGGTTCGACCCACCACCCTTTGGGTTCTCAGCTGATCGCTTAACCGTTGCACCACCAGGGCTCCTTTTGAATTGTGGCAAAATTTATATAGTATAAAATTCACCATTTTAACCATTTTAAAGTATACAATTCAGTGGCATTTAGTCCATTCACAGTGTTATGTGACCGTCACCACTATGAAGCTCCAGAACACTTTCATCACCCCAAAAGGAAGCCCCTATTCACCTGGCCCCTGGCAACCACTAATCTACTTTCTGTCTCTGTAGATTTGCCTATTCTGGACACTCCATAGAAATGCAGTCACACAATAATTGTCCTGGTGTTACTGGTATCTTTCACTCAGCATAATGTTTTCAAGGTTCATCCATGCTGTAGCATGTGTCAGAAGTTCATTTCTCTTTATGGCCAAAAAATATTTCATTGTATGAAGAGACCTTATTTTGTTTGTCCGTTCTTCTGTTGATGGACACTTGGCTTGTTTCCACCTTTTGGTGATTGTGAATAATGCCGCAGTGAGCGTGTGTATACAAGCGTTTGTTTGAACATATGGGAATGGGTATTTTTAAGAAGTGCCCCTATATGATTCAGCTGTGCCCTCAGACTTCCTGAACTGTTGGAAGAAGTCCGAGGTGTGGCCTGGTAAAGCCAAAATTGACCACGTAACCCTCCTTCCCACAGGAGCTCGCTGGAAGGAGCAGGGCCCAGAGGCATTTGCTTCACCACTTGGCTCAGAGGCCAGCCTGGGCCACAGTCCCATTGGGGAGCTCAGGAAAAATTGAGTAGGAGAATAAGACTACTTAGCATGGATGCCTACCAGGTCCTCCCAGACCAGGGAGAAGGAGGACAGAAAGGGGGTCAGGCCCCGTGCAGGTGTGCCCCCTCTAGGGAGTAGGAGCTCGGTGGGAGCCTCTCTCATGATGCCTGGCTGGCCTTTCCCCACAGTGACACTGGCCACTGGGAGAATATGGGCTACAGAATGCCTGCACCCCTGCTGACTGGCCCCCTTCTTCCGTGGGGTAGGGGTGGGAGGTGTCATGAGGAAGGAGGCAGAAACCACTGGCTGGCCAGGGTAGGACCCATTGCTCATTTACTCCAGTAAATAAAATTGCCATTTTATGTATTAAAAAACAGTTGTGCTGATTGAGGGGGCAGAGTTAGGACTCAGATTAGCTTCCTCTGGGTCACAAAGCACACAGGTGGAAACCTGATCTAGATCAGTGATTCTCAGTTTGTGCCTTCTGCATCCTCCAGGCTCCTGGTTCCCATGGACACCAGTGACTCAGAGGCTGTGCCCCAGTCACAGCCTTTGGAGGTGCCAGGATCACTGGCTCCTTCCTTTACCTGGGCCCTCCCCCTTGCCTCTCAGCCCCACTTGCACAACCTGCTGTGGGAGCACCAGCTAGCTTTTCTGTGCCTTCATCCCTCCATGGTCAAGGGAGAGGAGATTTGGTGTGAGAGATGAGGTATCCTGGCCCAGGAATGAGATGGCCAGCATTACTATTGGATGGATTGGAACCAAACCTGCCTGGCCCCAGATAGCTCCAGATGGGATTGCTGGCTGTGGCCCTGGGTGCCCAGCCTGATGGGGTGGAGCTGTTGACCCCTCACCAGAGCCCTGGGAAGGAGAACCTGGGGAGCAGCCACCTCTAAAGTGCCTCATGTGGCTCAGACTCCTGCCAGTGGCTGACCTGGGAGTGTTTCCATCGGTTCTTAAAGGGTAAGAGGCTTTGTTAGGAAGGATGAGGAGAGGGCTGCCAAGCAGAGACATGTACAAAGGTAGTGAGGTGAGAAAGGGCTTGCTTGGAGAAGAGGACCAGGAGGGGCCATGTGAAAGTGAGTCAGGCATGGACACAGGAACACAGTGTCCTGGAAACAGATTCTGGGGCAGAGGCTTGAGTGCAGGGCTTTGACTGGGGATGCTCTCAGGATCAGCACCCATGGGTGCTGAACAGTGACGTGAGTGCAATACAGGCCTCAGCCCATCCCACAGGGAGCTGGGCTGGCTCTTCAGGGTTGTACCAATTAAAGCAATGTATGTGTGCAACACTGATCAGTCATTGGCTATGGGCTGTCCCCAGGAAAGGGGCATGACTTTGGGCTAGGCATCTCTTTAGCTGAGGGCAGTTCTAGAGAGGGACTCAGCCGTGAGCCACAAGCAACCAACACGTGCAGTAGCTGGGGGCTGAGTTCTTTGGGCCTGGAGAGGCTGCTGGGAGGCCACCACAGTGTCCTCTACTCTGGGTATGTGTTGGGAAGGAAGTGGAGCCACGAGCTTCCTAAGCAGAGACGTGTACAAAAGTAGGAGGAAAGGGAACAGTCAGTGCTGTAGTGCCTGGTGTGATGGTGGGAGACAAAGCTGGAGGGATAAGTGGAGGCCAGCAAATGGTTTTGAGAAGGGAGCAGAGATGGGTTTGTCATGAAGCTAGTGATGCCCCAACTACAGGCCCCTCACTGGCATGGGCACCTTCCATGCTATGTCTTCACATGCTCATGTGTTTTCATAAATTTTGCAAAAGTAAAATAATTTTAATGATGATCAATGAAGATCAGTTCACTCTGTTTAAAATAGAAACTGAGGACTAGGTTGACAGATTCCTCTGAGTACATAGGAAATTTCATAACGATCACTGACCAACGTGAAATATACCCAAAGCCATTGAGCCCTGTGGCGCAGTGGGTTAAGAGCTTCACTGCTAACCAAAAGGTCGGCAGTTCAAATCCACCAGCCACTCCTTGGAAACCTTATAGGGCAGTTCTACTCTGTCCTATAGAGTCTCTATGAGTCAGAATTGACTGGACAGCAATGGGAAACAACCAAGAAAGATAAACAGAAATATAGGAGGAATAGTAATCATGAATCTCACAAACCCCCTTTGTGACAAGACATGTGTTAACCAAAAACTTGCTCAAAGTTTACCTTGTGCAAAGAATTTAAGTTTACCCAAAGTAATTTGGTCTTTTCCCTTTTTTCCTGAGAGATTACTCTAAAAAACCTTGGAAATTCCTGAGTAATTGAGATGCCTTTATTATTTAAAAGGAACTTTTGTGGTACAGTTAAAGCTCTTGGCTGCTAACTGAAAAATAGGCAGTTCGAACCCACCAGCCGCTCCATGGGAGAAACATGTCGCAGTCTGCTTCTGTAAAGATTTACAGCAATGGAAAACCTATGGGGCAGTTCTACTCTGTTCTTTAGATTGCTATGAGTCAGAATCGACTCGACAGCAGTGGGTATTATTTAAAACCTCCAGACAACACATGAGAATTTGTGCAAATGAGCAGTGGGGCTGGCCAGGCCACCTGGTAGGCTGATACCAGCCGACCTCACAGAGGGCAGGGAGCATGATTCAATCAATCCTGTGAAAAGTTAGCCAATGGTTAATTTTCTACTGTATATTTCCTTCCTTTCTCCTTAAAAACTCATTATAACTAGCCTAAGATGAGCCTTCCTGTTTCTCTGAATAGAAAGGTCTCCCTGTATCCATACAGATTAACTGCCTAAATAAACCCTATATGCTTTCATTCTTTTTGTGCTTTGATTATTTTGTCAACTCCCCCCACTTCTCCTGCCACACTCTCTTCCTGTTGGCTGGCATCAGAGTGGCCATGGGCATGTTGAGACTCTGGCTAAGGGGAAATTGGATTTAGGGTGCATGTATTAGCTTATTTACAGGGTTCTTAGTCTCTAACATGTATAGCTGAGTTATCGTAGCCGTCTGGGTATAGGAATAGTTTCCAGAAATACTCCTAGTGCCACTGTGCCAACTCACCAACTCACTCAGTGTTGTCCCTCAGGGTATCTTAGAATATGTTCCACAGGCAGCCCAGTCTCCTCACCTCACTGGAGAAAAAGGTGCCTCAGCTATACCTGAGGTTGTGACTACTTCTATATTTGCAATAGTTATTTTTTGGAGATTGTCTCGTAGATGGAGTATTTTAAACACAGATCCAACTTGGATATTTCTTTAGAAGGTGAAATGTAGCAAGATAATC